TGAGAGTATCGATTCAAGCGCAATCCACGACAAGTACGTGGAACTCGAGTATACATCATTCGATGTGGAAAGTCGCGTTCGTTCGTCCGTGCGATACCTAAACTCACCAGCTTAGACGTGTTTAAAACTCGTGGCCATATTTTGTCACGCTATTCGTGCCAGCCTAGTGCAGATTTCGGGACACAGATCCTATTAATCAGAGGAGTGAATAACGGGTTCACTGGTGAGTTAATAAAAGCTGTCTGGATAACGTTCGAAGGAATATCTATGGTGCTTACCGAGTCGCCATGAAATATTTTCGTAGAAAGAAAATATATTATTCGATGTTGCATAGGTTTAGTTGTAATTTCAAGTGTACAGTATCGAGGAAAGTAGGCTGTCTTAGAAAAAATGGCGATATAGGCGAGGTGGGAATTCTAAAAATATTAATTTTTACGATATTATTATTAGAAGTGATTTAGAAATAAAAATAATATATTTTTTATATGAGCTTTCCTGGGAAAGCCTATTATGCTCAATACTGTACATGAAAGAAAGTTGAAAAATTGAAATTTCTTATAACAAAGAGTACTTCTGACATTTTCCTCTCGACAATAAGATTGCTGCAGCTTAAGAGTGAGATTTTACTCAAAACCAAACCTTTGATAGTCTTTCCAATATCCTTCGGGTAGTAATATGTTTCCAAGAATTTTTGCTAAAAGTTAAAGTTTCGAGGAAAAGTCAGATTCAATTGCACGAGTAAAGTGAGAACCGCATCCTTGGAAAAGTTATCCGCAGAGGTATAAGATAGAAGTTGTAGAACGAAGTTGTAGATACAACATTTTAAGGTAATTAAATTACCTCCAGGAAATCGAACAGCATTTAATTTACCTAACGTTTTTATTAACAATTCTAATGGATCATACTAATTCTCATAATTACTGATACAATCTTTCTAATACTATTTTACATTTTCAAATTTTGAAATTCTCTGTAATTTGAAAATGCACTATTCTTCAAATTGTGTCTTTAAAACGACGAAAGTCTGAAGGCTCTATGAAAAAATTTCTCTTTCGAACAAAGGTGCGAACACCTAACTTCCGGTCTAATGGGGTGCATGGGCGCAGAATATTCGTACGGTCGTTGAACGAACAATCGAGGCAAGCTTTAAGTTAAACGCGTCCATGCTTAAGCAGGATTAACTCGATCGGCAAAGTTCGATGCGCCACGGGACGCAATCGATCAGAATTAATTACGCTTCCTGTGTTCCCCGATCGACGAATCCTCCCGCTGGTCGTTCCCTTTCCGTAGCTAATCGTTGATTAACGAGCCCCTGGAGCCGTTTTCGTGAGACGATCAGAAAGGATCGCGCCCGAATCCTGTCCCTCTATTACTGGAAAAATAATTGGGTTACGAACGGACGATAGAGTCGATTTGGACACTCGACAGACGGCCTTTCTACGGGATTCGATCGACGACCCGTCCACGTTTCCCGCGTTTAACTACTTCCTGACCTAGATCGACGTACATCGAACAAAATCGACCTTAAGGTTATTTTTGCCAGCTTTTAGACGCCTATTTTGTGCTCGGTGTCTCGAAACACCGTTAAATAAAATACTCGAACGAGCATAAATTGATGGCATACATAGTGCCTTGTCTATGGGAAAAAGAATCGAGAAAAATGCTAGATCCGAGTGAATCATTTCGAAAGCAAGTAATCTCTCCTCTCCAATTCAAGCGGGATAACCGTTTGACTGTCATTTCAAAGCGTTCTTGCGTTCGAAGCAACAAAGCGAAGGGGAGGAAAGACTGGTATTCGTCGGTCCTGAGGACATCTACTCGAGACACCGAGCACGAACTTCATCTTCAGCATCGAATTGGCTGCACGCACGTACACCTCGTGTCACCCCTTCGAATTTCTGCTCGAGCTAAGCCGCCTCCAGCATCCAGCATCCGCTTCACCCTGACGGATTCCAATCTCTCCAACCCCCGTTTGATGTGGTCCCGAAATTCTCCCCGGTATTATTAACCCCTGAATCGCGGGACGACCAAGTCCCATTCGCCAACGACCGCTTTAACGCTCGTAAAATTGAAAGAGGAACAGAGGAGGAGAAGCAGACAGTCGTTCGATTTCTTCTTCTTCTTCTTCTTGTTCGTTTTGAAATATTGCGTGCACGGTATTCGCCAGGGGTTTACGCCTCGATGTAGCGAAGCAACTTCAATAATTAATCCCCTGGCGACACTGGTGCTCGATGTCTTAGTGCGTTTCTCTTTTACCGTCGAGATTCCCTTTGCCGGCCGTAGTAAATGCATTAAAACCGAGAAGCTTCTTCCTCCGTGCCTTGGAAATTGATTTCTTACAGCCGTACGCTACTGGATAAAAATAGAAGAGTTTGCCTTGTTCAACGCAAGGTACGTTGTTTTATGAAGATCTTCTGTGGCTTGTTTCGTACGCGGTTTTATCATTTTAAACAGGTCGACGTAGAAAATAGCTTAAAGTTTCCTACTCTTAGCTTTCTTTTTCAAGTAATTGTAGAAATGAATCGTTTGCACGTAGGCCTGTTAGATGATATTTTAAAAAATTTTTTATTTTTTAAAAGGGCAATTAAAATTGAACAAGAAATTGGGGCTTTCTCCGGGGAATTGGGGAATTTTAACTTTATATTCATTTTCCAATACTTTATAACTAAAATATTACATATCTTAAAAATAGTACAGGCCATAATTACGCAAATAGTAGAATGAAAGAGCGAAAGAAATTACTGCGTCGCGCTACATGTAGTTATTTCTACTGCGTTGACGTGTTGACCGTCACAGTGGAAATATCCATATATAGTAAGACACGCTACAGTTGCAATTACTCGTAATACAATCACTTCATTTTTCAATTTGAAGCTTCCTATTTCCTACCTATTAATGCCCCTACAAATTTTCCTTAACCTTTTTTTCATTTAGTTATATAATTTATTCGGGCACCCCTAGCAGTTACATTAAATCAGTAGTATGAGTCAATGATCATCGCGACATTTGGCGTTTTATCGAAACTTTGAAATATATTACAAATTATTAATTTTTTTTTTTAAGTATGTAGTATAGGTAAACGTCTCCAACAATAGAAAATATTTTATGATTACATAATAACCTACTTTATACAAGGTACCTCTAATTAAAAAAATATTTTTCCAGCTGTTATAATTTTAGAAATAATTGAAGTGGTGCATCGTGAAATGAGAAAAGTTGCACCTTTCTCCTGCTTATGTTCTTGAAAAGAAGGTAGTCGAATGCGTTGAGAAACTTTCCTAAGGAAACTCGTGCGAAAAATATAGCGCGTTGATAACGAACCGGCACGCGGCAATTTGCCTGTCTACACCAAACTGTATTGATTGCCGGATGAACGCATTCAAGTGTTAATTTCACGCCATGTTCGATGCCAGTCACGGGAAAATGACAGTTTAACCGGTTCGCAGGGAACATGGCAAATTGATTCAACGCTTACGCGATCTTCTTAGCTCCCGTTCAAACATTCTACTCGCTCGCGCGTTTTCATGAACCTCTTAGCATTGACGACCGCACATTTTCATGGAATCTATGACTTTTACCATTTTATGTTTGCTCTTATACTTCGCAAAGAATTCTTAACGTGTTTGCTAGTAGTAGTTTTGTTGCTTTCAAATTTTTGAACATTGAAAAGAGAACATATTTGTTTTGTTATATCGTGCATTCAAACTATAATGCTGAATAAATTCCAACCTCACGAAAATCTGGGAAATAAACAATTTCCTCTCATTTATCAAACTTTATACCGTGTTCAGTTCGGTGCGCCTGGTTTGAATGGAAAGTCGCATAAAAACAGCTTGCCAGGTGCCAAGTTTTCACAGAAAACATTTGAAGTGCATATTTTGTTTATTCGGTTCTTTCCCTTTAACATTGCTGATTATTAACTTTTCGAGAAAAGATGTATAGTATACTTTGAAATTATTTTTCGGATATTCGTAAAATTTTCATAATTTTTTTTTATGACTTTTTAAACCAATGTGTATACCATTAATTATATGTATTAATGGGACTATATCATTTGAATAATTTGGGTAATTAATGATTTTTGAAAATAACTAAGTGTATCGGTTTTGAACACGAGTGTATGTTACTGTATCGAACCAATAATCCCCGAACAAGGTGATAAGCTTACGTTAGCAGTAAATCAAGCTTGTTTCAGCTATTTTCACATGAATTTTTAGATTCTCGTGTCTGTCGTCACTTATTTCAACAACGCGAAAGTGGGACGTTAAATAAGCTAAAAAGTGTCGTTTTTCATGGTTATATGTGTCATCGAAATCCTAGACACTACGGTTCTGCTGCATCGAATGTAACCAGAGAATTCGATACGTTTCTTGAATTCTCTGCGTTTATCTAACTAAAAAATTGTGTGTTCTCATATGAGAACAATGGCAATAGATCAAACAGCTAGTATTTGTTTGGGATTTATACTCAATGAAGTTTTTAGAATTAGAAATTAATTTTAAATTCCTTTTCAAAATTTTACAGTATTTCTTTAGACAAGTATTATATTTTCAATAGAAATTAATTTGCACAAAAATTTGATAATTTGTTTTAAATTCATCTCAAGTTCTATAAGTGTCAAATATCTATGGATGTTGTTACATGTAATCAAATATTTCTGAGCGATAGTGTATACACAGTGTTAACACTTTACTTACCGGAACGCTAATAATAGGCTTTCTGATGAAAAGCAATTACTAAAGCTTTGAAATAACAAAAGTTAGGTATGCTGTGTGTAATTAAAAGAAAAATGTAATTGAAAGGAAGGTCACTCATAATCTATAATTAAATTGTAAAGCAGTAGTGCTTATCCATTTCATGTTTTAAGTATTTTGCTAACCAGTTTAGATTTTTTCTCCTGGCAAAATGTCAATTAAAAAGTTTCATAGCGGTGTTTATGATTAATATCCGCCTAATCAAGAGACCTCATCGACGGTCTGACAAAAGAATAAGTCACGTACCTCCGGCGACTCGTCCGGCACCTTGCCCATCCAGCTAAGCGACAGGATGTTGCAGTCGCACTTGGCATTGTTATTCTTCTCGAAGTGCAAATGCATGATCGCGTAACTGGATCCGCGTAGCCGTTGTAAGGTTCGTCAGGTCATCGAAGCCGGTACCGACCCAAGCAATCGTCACTCAGCTAAGAATCGACCACCACACGCGACCTTTTAATACCATTAGTCCGTTATATCGGTGTTCGTAGCGAAAAGGATCCACGGTCGATATAATCGAATTCCGGCCTAAATCCTTCACGCGTCCTCGTGCAGACACGCGAGTAAACTCTGCCCGGAGCTTTTTATCATTGATTCGATCATCGCGCCGATTCGTACACCTGCGAGAACTGTGTATACGCGAATATTAGCCGCGGCTAGTTTTTCCTATAGTCCTTAGTAGTTTTGGACGGCGCTTTTTCAAGCAGCGAGTCGAGCTCGCCAGTGAACCTCTTCATAGAAATACAGTCTCCGTAAGTGTTCAGAGTTGATCACGATGAAGCATTCGCGTTGTTTCTTCGAGCAAAGTCATTTGTTTCGTATCGCGGTCGCCATTTTACCGCCTGCTACAAGTCCACCACCCTGTGGCCTCGCGACGATCCGGTGCTACGCGGCGGAAAGAACGAGCGAGCAAACTTTTCTGAGCTTTTTCGACGCGAGCTTACGTCCGACTGAAAGCTCAGCCGGAGCTGCCGCGCACGAGGCACCGCCGCGTTCTGCGAGCGTATTGATTGCGCTCCGCGCTTGCCTGCTTTCTTGGCCACCTGACGGCCTCTGTCCGTGTTAAATCCGCTGCAAAAAGCTTTTTCGCGCTACCAGCTTCGCGCACCGACCCTTCTGCTCGCCATACCTTCGCTCCTTGGCCCTTTACGCTTGCTTTTTGCAACTTTCGAATCAATGTCGAGAACCTTGTTGCTGATGTAATGGAATTAAAGCTGCAGGCTTCTTTCCGCTTTGCCCGCGTATTCTGTTGCTCTTAGATTTTCCTGTTCTTACCTGATGCGAGAGGTTCGCGTTGCTCGAAGCAATTAGCGTTTCTGACTGATTAAAAGAAAACAGGGCGAAGGGAATGTATGTTTGATACAACGATAGTATCGAGCTGTTAGGATACTTTAATTAAAATTACAAATTATAGTTTATCTTCTACGTGATTATGCAAATTGTGATCTTAGGATGTTCGCTTTTTATGTGTGCATACCTTTAATTATGTTACCTTCAGGTACATGAAAAGAATTTGTACAGAAATGATGATTGCATAATCAATTTTGTATCAGACATACACGTGCACAGGGAAAATTGAATGGTGTTGAATGGAGCATCGTGTGATATATTTATTAGTGCCGGAAGTGGAGGAGTTCCAAAGATTTGAAAATGGAACTATATATTTTTCTAAACGTAATTTGTTGCACTATATTATTGTCTACAAAAAAGTATTAAGGCACTGGGGTCGATAATTCATCGATTCAAAAGATATCTTAGGGAGAGACAGGGAGAGCCTCGAGGTCTCTCCCTAGGATATCTTTTGAACTAATGAATTTTTTACCTAAGTACCTTAATACTATTTGTAGAGAATTAAAATACGCTTCGATTGACACCAAGAAGAGTATAAAATTCAAAAAAAAATTTTTCAAATAAAATTGTGTAATTAAGGTCTCCTCCTTGAAATCATCGGTATACAAGTTTATTTTCTATACTTGTGCTCGAAACAGAATAAGTTTTACTCAAATATTACTTCAAATAATATAGTTTAAAATAATTTAATATTATCTCGTTTAAAATGAGACACCCAGTGTATATTGGTGCATATTCCATTCGGTATAACTCTTGTTTGCGGCACATCGCTCTTCGCCGTTGATGTTATTGTCGTACCATGATTTCTTGTGCTTTCTTATAATTATTTAGTTGTATACCTAACACAAGAATCTCTTAACGAATCGGTTTTATTCTAATCGTCATGGATTATAAAGACGAGCAACGTAATGAGATTGAAGCATTGGAATCAATTTACTGTGGAGAATTGGAAAGTATGAAAGCGTTATCTTTTAACCTGCAAACTTGTTTTCATTGTAAATCCTTTGCAGTTTTAAGTTTGAGATTTTTGAAAACTGAAGTTTCTTACAGTTTTAGCTACAGAACCGTTTTACATATTTGCTATCCCAATTAAAACTGAAGAGTATGAAGCTGAGTCTGGGAATGGTATTAGTTGTTGCTTAGAATTCACTTACACTCCAAAATACCCAGATGAACCTCTTCTTATATCCATAGAAGATCAAGAGAATTTTGAGGAGGGTGATGATGAGAAGTTAAAGGAACATTTAACAGAACAAATGAATGAAAACCTAGGAATGGTTATGGTATTTACCTTAGTTAGCGCTGCTCAAGAGTGGCTTAATGTACAATGGGATAAAATTAAATTAAATAGGGAAGAGAGTGCAGCAAAGAAACTTAAAGAACTAGAAGAAGCAGAAAGGGTACAATATACTTGATCTTGAGGAATCTGCAATTAAATGAGACTAATATCATTTATACCGTTACAGAAAAAGTTTGAAGGAACAAGAGTTACCGTAGAAACATTTTTAAGCTGGAAAGAGAAATTTGATGAAGAAATGGGATATACGAAACGAAGGGAAATGGCCGAGCGGGAAGGAAAGAAATTAACAGGGAGGGAACTGTTTATGACTGATAAAACCTTGGATCAGTCTGATCTTAAATTCTTAGATGATGGTATTGTTTTAGAATACCTAATTTATTTAATTTACAGCAAGGTATACACAGAAATGTAATATCATTGACTTTCTAATTCTTAGATTCCGTTAAGATAGATGAAAGTTTGTTTCAAAATCTGGATGATCTAGATTTGGAGGGCGACGACGACGAGGATGATCCTGATTATGAACCAAACGTTTCTGACGCTAGTGCCTAAATAAATATACTTGCATATCCTGTGCAACTACTTTGCACAGTCAACTGTGCTGTTTGCATTTTACATCACAATCGAAGTATGTTGATATTTGTTAATCAATTAAACGCATACAAGGGTGATGGATAAATATTTAATAAGAAAATTAATTTTTGTAAGCATGTACATAGTTGGATCATTTTCATAAAATTTTGTTTAACAAACTGAAAACATAAACGATAATTTTTTCCCGGACTAAGACTACATCGTATTGAAATAGAAATAAATAGGCGCACTAACGATCATAGTTTAACGTTTATTCATAGCCTTAGTATATAATGACATAGTAACAAATCCTAATGAACGAACGATTAGTAATTTCCTTTTCTCGCTCTTATATTCGCGATAAAATCACGGTTTATTATGAATACATAGACAATTTAAATTTCTATTCGATTAGATGCTTCGTTACAGTTATAATGAGGCAGTAACGGTATAATCAATATTGTTCATTAATGTTTCTATTTCACGTAACATATAGGAACCTTCAGACAGAATTCTCGTTTTCATACATTTACTTAACGTAAAAGTGGCAATTACAATACGGTACAAAAAATACGGTTATTTCTTTTTTTTCTTCTGTTACAATTGTCGTCTTTCTGCTGTTCCTGGTGCTTATCGATACAGTTATGAAATCGGTGCGACAACTTGTACGGCCTTACATAGTAGATACTTAACTGGATAAAAAGACATCTCTTCCTGACAAAAAATATTTGAAATAATTCATTGCGTAGTCCAACACGTTTAATTCGATGCTCATGGAAAATAATACTTGTGTTGATGCGTTAATACGAAACTTAAAATGTACAACTCGATGAATCTGTCGTCGATATCGATACACATGCGACATAATTACTAGAAGCAACTATTCACTAATTCATTGTTACAAGCGACTAAAGCGATACAGTTCACGTACCATGAATTATTAGTGTTGATCGTTCAGCTTAAAGCAACATACCAGTAATAAATAAAATAAATATCCGAGATACAGTCAACGAAATTCCGGCTAGAAAATTAGTGAATAGTCAGGAGACGTTAAGTTAATAATAAATTAAGTACAAAGTATCGATACGCAAAAGAAAGAAAGAAAAAAATAAAAGATAAAGTTCGATGGAAAACGTTGAATTCCTCACATTTTCGCAACAATTTTCTTTTTCAAATGGATTATGAATTTGACCACTGTTCATGCCGTGCTTAGTCTCAAACCTGACAGAATTAACGTGAAACGACTATGAATACGTCAGAATAGTCGTCTCGTCGTTAGACTCGCCAACACGTCATAATCTGTTGGGAGAAGAACACGATTAGTATAACATCACACTGCTAGCATTTTTTTTTTTTTTTTAATTTTTCGTTCAACCAAGCGACTATTCCCTTATTTAATTCCAAGCATAATTATAAGAACATAGACTTGTTTGATGTTCAACATCAGAGCGAGTTTTAGTCGCTTGGATGAATTTGTTGCTATAATTTAGTCTAAAGATAAACAAATTCGACAGCAAAGTTCTTACACACAGTATAGCCCGGCTTCGTTAGCCGGTATTTTGGCTAATTAATAATTAATTACATATACACACGACACGTAACAAACAAATGTTTATGCACGTATACACCATTTCTGTAAGATTCCCCAGGAATTATTTATATTATATAGCATGCGAGAAGACCCGAAAGCGTATATAGAAGTCGACAAAACTGATGGGAGAAACGAGAGAGTAATAGTAAAAATATTCAAATTTAATTTAGAGGTACATTTTCAGGGATAGTAGCTTTGAAATTTTATCGATTATGTAGATACTTACCTTCAGTCTCTAATTAGCATTAGATGGACATCTATTTGTATCCATTTTTACAAATGAAGTTAATAATGCATTATTTATATTATTAGGAATTCATCTATTTACCCAATTAGAAATATTCGTATTAGGTACTTGAAATTATGGATAATAGAAATAAGAAAATACATAAATTTATTTAAAATAGAAATGAAAATTTCAATTAATTTCTCATTTGCACCAAGAATTTTGTCGTATTCTATATACCATGACAAAGCTAGAATACTTTATACATATAGAGAAAAATAAATCGTATTGTATTTGATTCATCGACGATGATCGAAAGTACGAAGATCATCGATTTAGGAACAAATACTTCGTGATCCCATGGTATCTTTCAAACAAGATACTAAGTACAATTTACAATTTACGTTTAAAAATTGAATTCGAAAATAGTGTGTTCGATCTTTGAACCTTTACATCTTTTTTACCCGTAAACACGCGCGATTCTATTGAGCAAACGCAAGATACATTAAAGATGGTACCGATTATCACTTCCGTGGACGACAAAAAACCATTTATCTTGTTTGTTGCATTTTTTATTACAATTCTTAAGTGACAGTTGGTTAACCCGACCTAATGTTAAGAAAAAAATCTGTTTATAAGTTTTATTTAGCTTCTTTGAGAAAAAAAAAGAAAAATTCATTGGCAGTAGCCTGTACGAACATAAAAGATGGCAAATTAAAAACATGATAGCGCTAAAGCGTGCACCGCATTCATCTTTGGATCGATTTGGTAGTGGAAGGATTATTTTTCAGGGAGGAATTTCGGACTCCTGTTCGGTTCTTTTAGAGATCATCTTTAGAGTAACTTTCGGATGACCTTAAACATAGAAGGGGAAATTTCTTTGTAATTATTTCTAGAAAACAATTATGTTATGGAAAATTCTAAATGAATGAAAGAACGAAATTTGTCCATTTACATGGGGTACTATTTTCTTTTTTTTTTTTATATATATATATATTCGTGAAATTGTTCTATTTATTTTTCCACGATCGCAAAATATCACCGTACTACAAACGCTTGGTTTTCATTCAATCGTCACGTGTATGCGTGTCAATAAAATGTAAAATCATAAATGTATTTCATACGAAGAGACAATTTGAATCCCTTCGTTTCGCTCTTTCTACAACACAATTAGTATTATCGAAACAACAATTCCACAAAACTTTCTTTAAATACTTTCAATGGTTAATACTTATCACGATCTTGAACGATAAAAACTAGCATTTTCCTAATACTGCATTCGGGATGGAGGAGGACATTAAAATACTGCAATGTTAGCTTACTGCGACATTCGATACTGTAACAATAGCACTATGTCTCATCGTTATCATTTTTATACTTTTCTCTGTTTTAGTGCTTTAACGCTTCGTGCAAGTTACATCGTTAAAAGCACTGGCAATTAAGGGTGACAATTTCCTTACAGTTAAAAAGAAACTGTACGTTTTGCAACTGCACCGATGTTTCTTTTTTTTTATAGTTTCAATTCAGGACACAGCGATATATTTTTTTCTATATATTGTTTTTTTTATTTACTTTATCGATAATGTTAATAATGATAGCCTCTGTATATCCGGCTGGATGAAATCCGCTACAGACCTTTTAAATTGTGACGGATTTCTACAGTGTCTCTGAAAAAAATTAATTAAGCTTCAGCGGCCTGCACCGAAGTCAGTCAGTGACGAGCAACCAGTTGCTGATCAAAGTATACCATTGCTAATAAATACTTAAGCTAACAAGCAGTTAACGAGTGATTTCAATCTGCGAAGAAAAAAAGTTAAGGTGGTTGTGCCTCGAAAATAATTTATCATGAAATTGATTGAAAATTTAATCGGGCGTAAATAGTAATATCTAAACACTGGTGAACTTTGTTCATAAAAATGTAATCTAAGTTTTGAATTTCACTTTCGCAATACAATCACCTAAATATACGTATTTTAAAAAAATGATTTTTTTTTTCGCAGAAAAACATCACTAATGCAAACTACCGGCTTTAGTGTACTCAACATTTATGATTAATTGCATTGCAACTACCAAAAAGAAAGGAAAAAAATAATTCCACCACTGTCCCCGATTTTTATCAAACGACTACTGCTTTTCATAATATTCATTAATCAAGCAGAAAATAATGATAGATATTATTGCAATAGAATTGCAAGAATAATGTTAAAAAGCTGCGTGCATGTTAGTGTCATTAGAATTAGAATTATTCTGTTGGTGTACCTGAAAATTGACTAATTTTCGATTCATTATCTCTCTTATCTATTATTCTAAACACATTCTACTCGCTACCGCTATTTCCTATCAATCTACGTGTATCACTTCTACGATTCTATAAATTAATACTAATAATTATTCTACCTAATGTGCTTCCGTGATTAGCTGGTTAACCCTTTACAGGTCGTATAAAATTGTAGTCTCTTTTTTGTTTTCAAAATGAATACTTACTTCTCCGGCAAAATACGTGGCTTGGCATAATCTCCGGGCCAGTCGTAAAGATTTGGCAGTGGGCTGTCATAGTTGGCATCGTACATTTTACTCTTAATAAACTGCAATTTGTCTTTTGGCTCTGGATATTCGCTGGCTAATCCAACTGAAGAATGGAGCAATATTTAGAAAATGGTATCATTATTTTTCACGTTGAGAAGTAGAGAACCGAGAATGAGTCTTTCCTATTTCGTTCAGAAATTAAGTTTGAAATTTATCAACTTACTTTTCGCATACGCGTAGTTAGCAATTCGAATAGCAATGTCGATGGAACATTCACGAATGGTACTTAAAGGTGGATAAAGACTACCCATCTCAAGATCTTCATCTTTCACATGATTAGCCACAGTTTCAGCCGAGATAAGGAAAAGATCCTCAGTAATATGATGACACCCAGTTGCGATGACACCTAATGCAATTCCAGGAAATATGTAAGCGTTATTTCCTTGTCCGGGTTTATAGATTTTTCCATTGTGCTTGACCTCTCCAAACGGAGATCCTGATGAGAAAATGCATTTTCCCTACAAATTTGCAGAAATTGATTAGCAATCCATTGATCAATGATTTTTTAAGACACTTCACACAGATTCATTGTTTATTATCCTCGTACATTAGTGTGATCGTAAGCTTGCTGCGCCGTGCATTCTGCTTTGCTAGTCGGATTGCTCAACGCAAAAATCAGTGGCCTTTCATTGTTCTTCGCCATTTCTTTCAATACTTCAGGAGTGAATGCTCCCGCGGCCGCCGACGCGCCTGTTTCGATATTTCTACTTTAGACAAAAATCGATGAATAACGAGAAATAAAATAGTTACGCACCAATCAATACCGTCGGCTTTACTTCCTTCACGACCTCTAGTAAAGACTTCATCACTTTATGCTCTTTCGCGTACCAGATCTTATGACCCTCCAGATTACCCTCGGGTCGATTTTTAACCAATAATCCATCGATGTCCATCATCCAAATATTATCACGAGCCCCCTGTTGCGTGCATCCGTCTGCTTCCATTGCTTTCACGCAAAGGTCAGCTATTCCAATGGCAGCCTGTTGAAATATAAAATAAGTTGAGCAGAGCTATAATTATAAAGGTACAATTTATAATTTATGACAGGTAAAATCATATTCGATTCATTTTGCTCGCTGTAAAATAAAAGAGGTAAAAAATATCGCTAACCTCACCAGCACCCAAGAAGACAAATTTATTGTCGGACATTTTTTTCTTCGTGACTCTCTTGGAAGCTAAAATTCCGGCGACCGCAACAGCCGCGGTACCTTGTATGTCATCGTTAAACGTGCAATACTTGTCCCGGTATTTGTCCAGAAAACGGAAGGCATTGTGGTTACCAAAGTCTTCGAACTACAAGAATTGGCATAGGTGTCAAATGTCTATTCTAAAGGAATAATATTGTTTAACCCTTTTAACCTGACACAATATTAGTAAATTTGATATGAACTTTGATTTATTATTACAAAATTTCAATATTGAGAAATAATAAATTGGCCGTGTAGAAGGTCGGGTCAGATGGGTTAGGAAAAGTAATAAGCCTCTTTTGTAAGCGTACTTGAATGAGAACATTTTGACCATATTTCTTCACGCAAGCTGCCATAAATTCATCGATCAATTCATCGTATTCGGCGCCCTGACTCCTGGGCTTGTTAAGACCGATATAATGAGGATCATCTCGAAGCTGTTCGTTATTAGTGCCCACGTCGATGGTGATTGGTAGGCATTGATGCGGTTTAATACCAGCCAGAGCTGTATAAAGAGCCAATTTCCCTACGGGAATTCCCATTCCGCAAGCACCCAGATCGCCGAGACCTAGAATCCTCTCTCCATCTGTTACGCAAATCGCGCGAACCGCTTGCTCGGGCCTAATATCAAGAACAACATTTAATTTTGTAAGTCACCTTCGACGTATGTTGATACGTTTGAAAGCTTTTTAATTCAATTTCAGAGATTCGATAAGTTATCTGCGATTGCAGCGTGTTAATTTCGACTGTTATCAGGCAACTCTTATGAACGTTTGTACAGAGTGGATGAGAAATCACGATTGGGTTTAAACAGTTAACGAATGTTTAATTTGATTTATTTTTTATTTTCAAAATTTATCGAAGGTTCTTGGTAAATGGGACACATTCACAAACAATATTTTTCATACATAAAACAAGAATTAGTTTTTCAACACTTTTGTGATTTTCAGCCCATCCTGTACTCTTACTCGTATCTACAGGATTAAAATGCGTTCTGTTTTGCGAACAAGCTACTTATGCATGCAGAAAGTTGAGTACGGTTTATCTTTAGTATTCTATCATTGCACGTTCAGCGTTGAATTCTGAACACACGATAAGGTGAGGATACACGTGTCAGCAAATGTGTTCCACTTAGTACGAACGATCAGAATTCATGATTTTATTAACTCCTTGTTTACGGGTAAATTTACCCATTTAAAATTATAGTTGTTGTAAAGATCATTTCATTTAAATTCTTTAAATACGAACCAATTGTTTAAGATTTCGTAGATGTGTCCTTTATCATATATGGTGATGAATAGTCCACGAGGTCTACGATAAATAACACCAAACTTTTGACAAGCTAATCCAACTGTAGGTGTGTAAACGATAGGCATCATTTGTTCGATGTTCTCGCTCAGCAGACGGAAAAATAATCTTTCATTTCTTTCCTGTGGTAAATAAATATTTTATAGATAACAATTTATTTATATTTATAGATATAGAAGGGCTCCCCATGAAATGTATAAATCCGCTAGCTTGGATCTTTAAATTTAATTTAAAAATATATATAAATAGGGTCTCGGTTTTTATTTGTATGCCTAAGTAAGATCTGGGAAATTCTAGACATGGTTCTGCTTACATGCTATTTACATTCTTTTCAATTTACCTGCAATTCCACTAGATAGAGATATCGATTTAAATCCTCGGTATATTTCATTACTGAAGCCTTGCACAGAGCCAGCTGTTCTTCCTGAGTTTTAAATCTCGGGGGCTGTAGACCGTGTATACCCAAGGATATTCTTTCTTCCAGAGTAAATGCTAAACCCTGTATTAAAATAAACATTTCATTTTCTATAAATAAATCATTTAACTAGATCAATAATTTAAAAGATGATTCGATAGTTTTGTATACAGGACCTGGAAGGATTTATAGACAGATTTTTATTGTATATATTCAAAGATTTAAGAGTTTCAATTATTACATACCTTGTTAAGTCGAGGATCCCTCAGATGACCGATACCTTTCACCATATTGATAGGTATCACATCTCCGGATACCTCGTGAATGTCCCTCTGTTGAACATCCTTTGCTGCAGGATGCGTGGGTGGCAGTAATCGTGCCCATAATCCTGCACAATTCCTGCTGCTGGACGATCTAATATGTCGTTATGAATATTTGTCATCATTTTGTCTATCCATTTTGAGTTATTAGCATTAGACTGCAGATGTTTACGTCTTACAGAAACTGGCCACTGAATATAATTTTATTTTGTCCTCAGTGAATTTCAAATAGTGGTCTATACTATAATGTACAATTTTTATCGATAAAATTATACGAAGAATTAGTTGCATATTTTATTATAGTTATAATATTTTGTAAATTTCAATACTACCTATTAAATTCTCCAATTCCATCGTATCGACAAATCTATCAAAACTGATAATTAGATGGATTATTAATCACTTGAAAATGATACGATATAGTACGATCTGAGATAGTAAAATAGAATATATTTTATATTTATTTTTAACTCAGCGTCTTAATAGTTTAAAATTCTTAAGGTTTTAAGCTCTAGAGCTTGATATCGAAAAAAAAGGAAAAGAGAAATTATTGATATGTTATCGATTAATCCAACACAATTATTAAATGATTGTACATTTGACATATTTTGACATGCTTTGAGTGCATAAACATCAGCAGTCTAATTATCATAAATCATATTTGTAAATGGAAAATTGCCTTGCTTCGCCGCACGCAAATGGTATTAATTTGAATTTGAATTTCAAGCGATTAACCACTGGGATTACGGAGAAATTTTATTTATCTGCTATCATAATTTATTGAGACTGATTGATATCTTAACAAAATGGCTGTCTCAATCTCACATTTCCTATAAAGCTATACAGAGAATAAAAATTCAATTTTATTTCTACATTTCCTGTTTATGAGACTGATAAAAAAAATAATCCACTTATGTACCTTTTCTTCGAATTTACACAATAAAACTTCTTATCTTTTGATTTATAAGTATACTTTTCCAACATGCAAGGACGGTAATCTTTTAATACACAGCTGTCTGGTATAAATTTCAAAATCAGTTTAATTAATAACTTTTTAATCTAGAGTTGAGCAATAATGTCTCATAAACAAAAATGCATAAAAGTAAGACAGAATTGCAATAAAAATGCAAGGTTAGATTAGTATCATAGTAAAGAGTTAAAAAAGAAAGGGGTAGAGCTTTTAATTTTTGCCTTTTTTAATTGTACATAATGAAAAGTATTATATAAAAAGTAACATCTATATTTTTTATCACTAAGGATTAATGAAATAATGAGAGTTTAAATTTGGTTTCCAGAATTTTCGAAAGTGCATATGAATGCACTTCGTAAAAAAGGGTTACACACGAAGTGCACAGTAAACGGAAGACTTCCCCGTATAATAAGTACCTATCTGAAAAAAGGTGCATGTCAATAAAAATGTCATTTCACTCTAATTTATTAACTCATTATACTGGGAACACTGGTCACGTTCTAGTTTTTAACCAAATTGCATTTAACACTTAAAAACGTTAGTTTATGGACCCTTTGCAGCGACGTTTGCCAATTAGTGCATTCAACCGAATGACTCATTTTAATTTCGTTTAACGAAATGACACGCGTGAGAACAGGTCAGTATCGTGTCGTTGAAATACCGATTAACGTCATCCGTGATACCGACTTATCGTTTATAATTCATCCGTGCGAATCTCTGCGCGATCCTTTTCCGCGTCGAACACTTGTGATCAAAGACACACAGTTTTTATATACGCCAATGAAATCGACCGAACGTGGACGAATTAAGTTGCCAAAATATTTTCGATGGCCTAGACTGGGAGTAGTAAATCAACAAGTAGCGATGCTGGCAGCCTCTTTGGCTTGATGCTTCTTTTGAGCGATCGTAAATCGTTTCTTTGACTCGACGATTGATGAAATTGCGATTACTCAATTGAGCCACTTGGATGCCGATACAGGTATAGGTATAGTATTTTCGTACACCTGTTAAGGTAATAATTAAATGGAAGTTGGTAACATGCAAAGCAAGTTATGCACATCAAAGCATTAGGACACTGAAAATACCACAGGGTGGAGAGTGTATCGATCGAAGATGAGCTGAAGGTATTGCAACTAAAGGTCGAATAGCACGTCGATAACGCGATACCTTGTTATTTGATAATGTGTTCAGTATCGTGGGTTATACAGGGTGTTCAATAACTACGTTTGCAATGTTGAACCACTTATAATAATTTAATATTCCAACCTTTTGAGTATTGATTTAGTTTGAAGAATTTTTCCAAATAAATAAAATCTAACTCTTTTCTAATGTTCTAATACAATTACGTTGAAAAATAAATGAAAAGATTTCATATAAAAATGCATTTATTTTCATAAAATGAGTAGATTACATTAAGTACATATGATTCCATAGTCTGACCATAGTCTATTGTAAATCATAGGTTGAAACACGATTCTTTTTAAACTGCATCTTTTCTTTGAATGATGATTTCTTAAAAGAATCAGAACAAAATACAATGTATTTATCACAAAGTACATGAGTCCATTAAGATTTCTCGATTAACCGTGAGTCAGAGATAATAACTGAACATCCTGTAACAGATGCTTATCGGTTTGATCTGGTTACAACTAAGCCACGGAACGAAACGCGTTATCACAATTGATCTCGCTTGATGATTTAAAATCTAAGTTATAGCATGAAGGAAAAGAGTTAAAAAAATTTTATTACAGATAAATTTCGTGTCGCGTGCATAACGAGGAAAGAATGCATATTACCAAGCCATATTCTAAATACCATAATGATATTGCACTTCTGAAAGGAGAACGGGGTAATCTATTATTGTTTCGGTGGCATGCAGCCAAATTTAAATAAACAACTCTGAAAAATGTGCTATTCCAAATCACTTAGTTTTGAAAAAAATTTTGTATTATTCTCTAACTATTAACATTTGTGCAAATTAAAATATAATCAAGTCATTCTGTTTATCTCAATGTCATTAAACAGTTTTCATAAAAATTACAATCGTAACTTAGTTATTTTCATAAAAATAAAATAAAATATAATGAATGATAATTTTTGTTCAAATTCAAGTTAGCTAATTTTGTGAAATTTTTGTTTCGATCAAAATGGAGCTACTTTCTTTTTTATGCATGGAACCAGCGTCGCCCTCCATCACACGGTAGTCGTGGTCATTACGGTTTCCTCATCACCAATTGAACTACGTGACAGTAATGACGTTATATACACTTTCCAAACGGAAGCAAATGGAATTCGTAAGTTTTAATAAAAAGAACAAATTTTTAACCCTTAACTGCTACAATAAAATGAAAACACGTTAACTCTATAGCGGCGTAAGTCACGAAAGGGTTTAAAATAATAGGGTTAAAAATTTTAATATTTTTCTATTCAAAACAATAAAATATAATTCATGGAGATTCGTTTGAAGTATGGAAAATTATGTCTCGTAAGTGATCGCCATTTTTCAGCCTCACAAAGTTGAGTTCTTGAAGAAGATCATTGATGATGTTCAAAATAAAATTCTATAATTTTGGTTCGTTGCAAAATCGTGTAATCTTCCACAATAAATCTTCAAGATGAACTTTAAAAACTCTGAAAAGAAAAACAATGAAAAAATTAAATTTAAAGAAGATATTAATTTTTCAAACTCTTTCGTGATTTTCGCGTTACTCTGAAGAAAGAAATTTAAAACGCGTCGTCCTAATTATAGATTCCCAAAATTCACATCTTATTTTAGAATACTTTTATGAGTGACTGTATGTTTGCTGTACAATTGTTAATATACAATAGCAGCCAAAAGTTTGAAACCGCCAAGTGATAAAAATGAAATTCTTCAAATATAATGAAAAATGTCTGAAAATAATCTAATTTTCATTAGAAAATTTCAGATCTTGTCTTTCTAAAATACTTTATGTATTGGAGTAATAGGGGTGTCCAAAGATAAATAATTTTAAACTTTTCTTTTAAAAGTAACAAGGAGTAAAATGTTTATTTATATTGAGCTTATTTTGAAAGGGGACTTTACAATACTCCTGTCCATCGTCCTGAACCATAAAAACTATACTTCAATAAGTATGCATTATGTAAGTTAGTCGATTTAACGTATTACGTAAAGTACCAATATAACTTCCTTGGTATGAAGTGACACAAGCTATGACGTACATATATCATAATTTCCAAAGATTTCCATTGACGAATGGTGACACAGAAAAGGAAAATTGTTCCTTAGAATCAGCGTAAGAACATTCATTATGCTACTGCCTTCAAATGCAACCACAGATTCAAATATTCCAAAACGAATTTCAAATTTCATATAAGTAATAGAAAAAAATTATTTTTAGAATAAATTCTCAACCCTAATTTGAATAAAACATTCAATCATTTAGTTTATTACTTTATATTTATAAATATCTTTTAAGCTTACACCAGTCTATTTAAAGTGCTCCCAATCTCTTGTAACCCTGAATTATTTAAAGGTCGCCACCTCGAATGTACGACACACTTTTTCTAGAAATTCAACGATAATAGAGAAAAAGCCAAAGAATGCTGTTCCACTGATGGAACTTGAAATTGCTCTGGGACTAGGTAAAAAATACCATAGTGATTCTGGTTGTGTTTAACACAGACAATTCTGTCGGTTCTCGTTCTCTACAATATCCGTTACCGTTTAGCATCTCTTTTACACTGTGTACACTCATGCACTCTACGGTTGCATGATTGCATATAGGGTTTCTCAAAACTTTGGAGCAGCCTTTGCTTCATGGACAAAATAAATTTTTTGATACACATATGCTGTAATTTTAATAGAAATATTGCGATTGTGTTTTTAAAAATTTTTGCATTGTAAAAGGATTTATTCAATTTATGATCCAAATTCGGATTTGAAGAGGGAACATTCCTCCGGACGGCGGACCATGGAGAGAGCCGCAATTTTAATTTAATTTTGTATTTCATATTATCTTAATTTTCTAAATTTTACACTTAACTTTAGATTAATATTCTTACACGTGCTTTGTTCAAGGGTTACGGAATATATTATAATATGCTCCAAACTTTTGAGCACCACTGTACATTGCGTATGGTAAATCATGCATCAAAAAGATTCGAATCAGATTGCATGCACTAAGAACTAATAATTGCCGAATGTATAAGCAAAAATGTATTTGCGAAGTTATGTAAACTGTAGGCTATTGCTATCGTAATAACGGTATCCTCAACTGTTTTGGAACGAAGGTAAATAGAACGAAAACGGTATCTCTTTCGCTCTGTCTACATTGGTACCTCTGAATTAGAATATAAAAAAATGACTTTCATTTTTTAATATAAAATTTTTTTAAAATACAGCAAATAAATTAGAACGTCAGTAGATATATGATATTTGAGATCGTTCAACCCAACGTTTGATCAATGAACCGAATATTATCTTAATTTCAAGAATTCCCGGAAAACGTTTGGCACAGACAGCCCGCAAAAATAGAACACCAGCAGTGCATGTGTTGAGAACAGTGGGATATAGTTGGTGAAATACTGATTCCAGAATATACAGTGGACCAACGATATATTGGCGCACTTTAATTTCTTTTCTTGCAATAATTTTATTCAAATAGCTATATTACACTATTAAATGCAATAATAATATTTCAATTTTGAATAAGGGCGTGGTAGTATTTTTCTGATTCACTGGATGTACATTGTAACATAGCTTCGCGAGGGACGATCGATGAAAAACCTCGTTAGAGCGACAGATGTGCCAAAGGGCTCGCGAATAACGAAAAAACGTTTGAAAGCAGGTCAAAAGGGGTGGAAAGTTCCATCAAGGACGGACCTCTTTTATCCAGGAATTTTTTGACAGGCGTTGATTCATCCGTGAGTCGGCGTGCTCCGAGACAGGTACAGGACAAAACGAGACGAAACAGGACGAGAAATGGAGGGGATGAAACGGTACGGTCCTGACGTTGTTTTCTCGGTACCGGGTAGAAATTCGAGGTTCTCGTAGCCGGTGAGAAGACAGGTTGGGAAAAGGAGATTTTCGAATGAATCTGGACGTGAAGACGATACGATTCCGTTTGGCACTGTCCCACAGAGAGCACGGTAACGTGGCCTCGTATCGATCGGCTGATTCCCAGCGCGTTCCTATTTTCAGCACTGCATTGCGGCAGAAGCTAGCTTACAACGGCCCTTCTCGCGTATTCCCACTGGCTTTTTCCGCTCCTCTCCGCGGTCTGAATTGGCGCGCACGTGCGTGCCACGATCGTGCACCGGTGCAGCAAAGACAGGCGATACCTTTAATCGTGTATACTCGAGCCGACGGTTTCGGTGAAAAAATAATTCAGGTACTCACAATATAGATCTCTGCAGGACGAACATCTCGCTGCTCGCGTGTTCACAGCTGATCACCTCCCACCCGACAGGAACAACGCGCGACTGCGCGTTTTCGGCTAATCCGTACCTGAGCACCAATGCCGAATCGTTTGCCCGCGCTCGCCGCCGCCGCTCTGTCTACTACTCTCGCACACCTTCTCCCTTTTCCCTTTCGAACTCAAGTTCGTCCATGCACCCGGTCACGCATACGCACCACTGCGCTTCTACACGATGCAACTCATATCGGTGTGTAATGCACGTCGATCTCGTACTTTTCTTCCTTGCCAACCAACCTCTACGCTACGCTCCCGTATATAGAGAGACGCGAACCGTCTCACCGATCGAGTGTGAGTGAATGAATACGTTGGGACGCTGTGGCCGGACAAGCCCGCCGCGAGAATAGCCGAACACTTCCGACCGACGTCCTATATATGTGATCGTTTCCTTGATATCAGCGTATCGGAACGAAGCGTCGCGATGCGGGGCGTCCGGCATGACCTAACCAGTCTTTTATCAATTTTCTCTGAAATTATCTACGGAATGTATAAACAAAGAAGGTGACTCGATGAAACGAATCGACATGCCAAGCCAGATTGTGTTTGCACTTCCTGGATCTTTTATTTTTTTTATTTTTTTAATTTCTTATCAGGAATGAAATTTTTACTTATCTTTTTGCCTGGTTTGCATCTTGTTTCATGAAAATTGGAATTGAAATTTAATATTTTATTCAGGTGTTAATTTGATAGTTTCGAGTGAAGATAACACCTTTATGCCTAATGAGAAAATGATAAGGTACAACCTTTCACCGTGATGTGCCGCCACGTGTCTATGAGCAAAATTGTACCTTTTTCATACCTGTTAATTAATCATTCGTATTTTAATATTTCATCTAATCTGGAAAAAAAATAATGCGTTTTTTTCCAAAGTTTAATCTTTATGTATATTTTAGAAGAAATTATGCTAATGAAGGTATAATTTTGTCACCTATTTTTAAATTTAAAAGTACGGACAATTTACAGATATAATGTTAATCATTTGAAGTGTTCTATTTTAAAAAGATTGCACTTCCTAATATAATTTCCATTAATAAAACTGTTGTAAAATTTGAGGAGAAGCTAAACAAGATATTGAAACATAGCACCATTAAGAACCGTGCTAATTTCTTCTCAAATTATCCACTCCAGGTTCGAAAAGTGTTTTTCAGAAAAAAGACTCACGTTTTCTTAGGATAATAATTTCGTTCAAATACAATGATGTTTTATCGTGGTGCGAGCACTTAGGAACCACTTATCTCGTTCTAATTGCTAGCAGACAGTTATCTCAACCAATTCTGTTCAGACGTTTACGTGGTGCAAAAGAATTTCATGGCTACTTAGAGTTGAAGTGGAAGATCTTTCCTTACCTAACGATCCCGTGTAGTTAGGATGGAATTTAAACCATCTTCTCGGTATCGTAGCTTGTTTTCGGTTAAAAAGGCCAGGAAGCGAGAAAGGGAGAATGCAGAAGGTGAAATTGATGAACAGGTTTTCCTGGTAAATTTACAAAGTACTTGTACGTGCTGAACGGTTGTGGAAGTTTTCGTCCGTTCAATATTCTACCAGGTCGGCATTTTCGATATAAACGATCGACGTGATGGCCAGCCAAAGTATCCTTCTGAACTTTCCCGAATACGATATTTGTATCCGCAGTTTCCAGATTTTAGATGCTCGTAGGTTGAATAATAGAGGCGGGATCGGATTACGATTTTTGGGGCTCCGAGGTAACGAACCTTTGAGTGTCCCCTTGGTTAAAAAATTGGGATTTATGAGGATTTATTTTTGAAATAATAATTGGATGTATAATTTTCTGTAAGATTAATTGAGGATGGGGAATTGAGGAGAAGGTAAATGTGAAAAAATCATCTAATGGAACTAGAATTATGACGAAATCGTATCATGGTGATGGCGAAGAAAATTCATTACGCGTTCTCGTACAGATTCATATGTTAAGGTTTATTAGGACAGTAACGATGATTGCATTACAGTTCAGTAACTTATGCGTGAGATGTTCCGGCAAGAGCCTCAAAACAGAATAAGAAAATACATCCGCCATTAGCGGATACCATAGTCGATGCTCCGATCAATGATCGCGCTTTGTCCGGAGCATGACTACGATGCTTTTGAACAGTTTTAACCGCAGGACAAAGTTTGGAGCGCCCCAGGCGCAACTTTGATAACTCGCAGGTCCCCAGTAACATGCGGCGTGTAAGGATAAAAGTTTCTCTTTATTTCTTCTTTTGTTTAGTCGGACTCAGGAACTTGCTGCTAGGCCGCCCCTGAACTTCCTGCCTAATCACGGAGCGCTCGTCGAGTTCGTATATCGTTAAGAGGTTGAAGTTTTTTTTTTTCCTTTCTTTTTCATAACTATTCAACTAGTTAAGTCGTTCATGTACACATAGAGATCCTCTTTCAACACTTTGATTGCCACAGTGAAAATTGCCGTATAGTACTTCAGTAGACTCTTGTTATATCGCCACGTGAGCAATTGACGTTCCATCATTGCCTCCTTCTGTGGCAATGTAACGAGAGTCTACTGTAATTGTAATTATTTTATTTTTTAATTTAAATTTTCCACTACGTACCTCACGAAATTGATATACTATAATTTTTTAAAATTATTTTGCAATTATTTCAATTAAATTAGATTCGTGCTGCATGCGACCTATGACCCCGGTGGCAATCAACGCGTTAATGCATACAAATTGTGCTAATCGTCGCAAACACAATTCTGCGCATTTCCATTACGTGCAAAATTAATAATCCCTCTTACAGAAATTATCTCGTCCTACCGTTTCATTTTTTATAAACGCGTAACGTTCTAATACGAGTTTCCTTTCGACCAGGAATTCGTACGTTTATCGGTCTAAATGAATACAGAGACGGTACAGAGTGCGCAACGAAACGGCTAAATTGATAGACGACTTAATTGGAAAGCATCGTGCCTATAATTAATCATTTTCACTGAATACAGTGGGGGGTAAAACAGCGGGGCAGCAGCTCGAAACAGATTAAATGTAACAAGTATTTACAACGTGGTTAGTTACATTGAAGCATTTCATAGCGCTGATTCAGGTGTGTTCGCAACTTTCTAATAGCGTTTCATCGTTTCTTCCACAGAGAAACATACAAACAACAACGAACGTAAGCGACAAATCGTTCTTTCATTAATTACATTGTACAATGTCTCCTTTCTTTCTTATTTACTTTCCTCACGCTCAACCAGAGACGCTCAATCAATAATGCACAGTCATACTCGCATTTCATAATTATCATTTTTTTTTCTTTCTTGTTCGCTTTTTTATATATAAATCAACTAGAAACTCGGGAGAAGTAGTCAACGCATTATAAACCTATTAAAAAATATTCACAGTAGTCTAACATACACAATGATAGTATTGCTACCTAATTCCTTATGTATCCAATGATACATAGACTTGATATTGAATTCGTAGAGAGTTCAATCGTTTCATTAATTCATGTCGATGATTTCTTTTCACAACGATCCTATTCTTCTTCTTCTTTCTTTTTTTTTTTGTAATTCAATGATTAATGCATTTTTGTTCGTTCATACGATGCATTGTGTACGTGGCGTATTTAATCGATGGATACATTGATCGATGATCGATTTAATGGTAGAAATGACATTCTACCCTTGTTGCCTGGTTATGCCGCCATAACCTCGGGAAGGTGGGCTTGGCTTATATAGTTTAACGGTTTATAGTTTGAAATAATTTTCCGTGAAAGTGAAGTACCTTTGTACGATAAAGTTTCATGGAACTATCGTTAACTTTGACGTTAATGACTTTCTGCCCGGCTGAGAGGCGGTATGCCAATACGTTTCTCTCCGTCGGGTCCCCTTACAACGATCGTTAAACATTTATCTTTATCGATTACATCTTCCACCCGGGTGAAGTTTGAACAGAGAAATTTTGTGTATCACGTTTTACCCTTGTCGATCTTTCCGCTGCAACTTGTTAGTTTGTTTTCTTTTCGTTAACCTGCTGCTTGCATGTTTCGCTAACCACTTCAACCTTATTCTCGGTCGCGATTCCGTTCCTAGACGAAGTTAACTATTGTTTAAGTGTCGTTCCATGGTGGTTTAAACGAGGTTGGTTTAAGGAGAACAGAGGTGTGAAAATTGGAAAATTTTGGGATCCAAAAATGACGAATAAAATGTATAATTAAGAAATGAAAATAGTACCTTTGGTATCGATTTAATTTTTTCTTGCATAATATTTCAATGTTCGATCTCAGAAAATTATTTCAAACTGTTTTTCCTGGTAGTAAAATTCTGCTGTAACCGTCTCGATCGATTGTTAAAATTATTGCTGTCTCTCCGAAACTCTGACAATGAGAAAGGGTAAATTATAAATCCTTTTCTTGATCCGTTCAATTTCTCCGTATGTAATTGAAACGTTTTCATCAACACCTCTAATCTCTCACGTATAATCAGACTTGTATTCGTTCCCTAATGAACTAAGAAGGAATGGAAACATCACAGTCGTATAGAGGATGTAATAATAAATATGCTCGTAGTGTATTTTAGGAAGGCGAATTTTTTCGTCTCTCTTTCGCTGCTCACTATACGTATGACTTTCGATTAAATTCTTCGGACAGATAGTTTAGAGCGATTTTATAATAGACTCGCTTCCATACGAGGAGAAAAACATTAACAATTCAGCACTTTTTGGGTACGTCACGCTACAACAAATTATAGATTTATACCATTTACTTGTACAACTCTCATAATATCGTCTCTTTCGGTCTCGTTCGTTCGATTCAAGTATATCAACAGGGAACGATCTTGAACTTGCGAATTCAAAGGGTAATGGAATTTTTCTGAATATTCATAAGGCAGGTTGATCAATGACACATAAGTCTTTGGTGGTTGAAATTTCTTCAAGGTTCATCATTAATTAATTACTGTAATTTTGCAACGTCGAAGATTATAAAGTTCCAAACTCAGTGAACTGGCTCTCATATTTGCATCATTATTTTATTACACTTAAACAAGTTAAGAAACTTGTAATTTTCGAAGTATAAGTTAAATAATTAACGATGTAGGTACATGGATCATTATTTAAATTAAGCAAGATTATCTTTGCAAAAATAGACAATTAAAATTAATTTTTTCGATTTGGTTCAATTTGAAACGATGCTTCGTTTATTGAAATATATACCTCGCATACACACTCTCAAAATTTCATAGCTTCTCGAGCTTTTACATTTTCCTTCGAATCCTTCTTTATTGCCAATACTTCTCTCCGTTTCGATGCTCGTAGTAAAATGATGGAGAACGATCGTCGTGCGGTGATAAGGATTCAATAAATGAATCATGACGTGTCATCAGGGAGATCGACTTTGGTATCCCTTTGGCAATTTCATTGACGCAAATGATATAGCCACTTTCCTTGGTACGTCGAATAATGGAGGATCGTGGATGGCTCCTGTCCTCGAAGTTACAGTTCGTTGTAAATTGAGCCAAGACTCGTACAAGTAGTTACTGATCGTGATTAAAGCAAAACTCGGCCAAAGAGTAGGGGTCTTATGAACAGCAACATGACCAGCAACGTTGTACCTTTAACAAAAAAACAACAAAATCAAACTTCTAACGAGATCCTTTATAAAGATTCACAATGTAGGCAGAATCCAAAGAAACAGATAAAGGTTCAATTGTGGAATTTCTTTATTCAAAACACTGAATCTTATTAACCTTCTGTAATTAAGAGGGTGAAGAGATAGCTTTACCTAGAAAGTAATTTTTTTTAAATTTACCATTTTTGTATTTCATATTTTTTTAGTAAAAATGTAGAATAAAATGGGATTGAATACTTTAATAATTTTAGACACATTGTAAATTGATTTTTGTTCCAATCCGTCTTTCAATTAAAATTCTTGATCATTAAAAGTTCCGCTCGAACGTTCACGGTTTTCGTAATTACAAGAAATATTTTATTATTGCAAATTTTAGCTGCACTTCAAACAACAGCGGTCGTTTAACACGAACGTTCCCCCCGAAAACTACTACGAAAGGGGTAAATGAAATTTTAAAAAATTCACTTCGTGAAATATTACGTTCGAAAGTTCATTATTTGTTCGACAGAAAGAAAAAAAGTAATCAGCAGCCATATCGAAGAATTCATTAATAATTGTACCTATCGCTTTCGTATACCTATCAAACAAGAGGTAATTAATTTTACCAGTTTTCGTGTTTATCAATTAAATACTTGGTGCACAATTAATCATTCTCTTCATTCAAACGACCATTTCCTCGGTTCTCTTCGTTTCGAATTGGATGGAAGTGCTCGGAAATTGATATAATTAAAATTATTTAAACAACAGTATGTTTATGACATGAACAAAACTTGAAACCAACTGAACGAAAGTATGTTTGTATTAGATTTTTACTTTATATATATTTTGACTTTTTATGTTGATGTAAAATTTATTTTTTAATCCTCCAATCGTGGAGGATTAGGATACGTGGACTCAGGATACGTGGAATTGGTAGCATCACTCTTTCAAGGATTAAAAGTAATCAACTTTAAAATATTTGAACTTTGCTATTTGCTTATCACAGTTCAGTTCTGATCATATTTACACCTTACATCTTTGAATATTAACCACACTATATAATTTGCAATATACTGCGAAGATGTTTACCATATTGAAGAATTTCCATTTATTTTAATCGTCGAACATAGCGTTGTTCGTATACTTTAGCGCGCCTCTGTATATTCTGGTAGCAAGGAATAAAACGATGCACTTTTACGAGATGGGGAGCGTTTCTCGCGTCGATCTGCATCGCAAACGAGCTACAGGGATTTTCGTTCCGTTGTAATAGAGACATCGGGAAAGATCCTGCAGAATGCCGAACGTATACTCTGAAAAGTAATTGCACTCGAAGGTAGTCCAATAAAGAAAGAAAAACAAAAAAAAGAAGCTACAGCACGAAACGGGCGACGACCTTTTCTGTTTCATAATGAATCGGAACGTTATGCAATCTTGTACGATCGCGTAGTCGTGGTAAATATTAGAGAGCAATGATGTAATCAAGAGGATCGAGCCATCTGGGTGCATTGTGCAGTCCTCAATGCACCGTCAAATCAATATCGTGATTATATAATTAAAACAAAATCAAACCTGAATATTTGAAAAAAAAAAAAAATCATATATGTATTCTACAAAACTCTTCAATTGTTTTCGTGTTTCTCTTTTACAATCTATTTTATTTTCAGTCAGAGTTTGCGCGAGGTTATCGAACCCAAGGTATTAATTACTTTCATGATTGACCAAATTGCTCGGATCGACGCGGATGAAATCGTATCGTTTCGTTTGTTGTAGCGAAGCCCTCGCTTTCACTAAACCCATGCAATTTTCCTTGTAATTTAGTTTCCAATTTCTTTTCGCGAACCTCTTCTGACCATTCTTATTTTATTGAACCTGTTATTCCCGGCTGGGAGAAAACATCGAGGGAAAAGGAGTAGGTACTGATCAGATTTATCGCCTTGAGAGAACTCGGGTTTCTAATTTTATCTTTTAACCCTTTCTCTATCGATGACGTGTTTACTTTTTGTCGATAATCAAGGGTTGAGTGAGAAACGTGGATACAGGGTGGTAGATATCTATGGTAGATTAAAAAGTGTCTGACAATTAGAATGAAACTGTAGAAGAGTTAAATTGTGATGGAAAATTGAATGCGAGGTAACTGTGAAATGTTCAATAATAGTCAGGAAAGTGGGGAAAAAATGCAATGCAATAGGTGGTCGTCTGTGTTACATTCGACAGGGAAAACGAACGAACAACGGTTTCTCTTCACGATTCAATTCGACAGGACGAAGCGAAGTGAGCCAACTTAATTGATTTCGCTCGGAACACGCTGCGTTGTGTCGTTCTATTCTCGCTGACAAAGTTGACATTCCAAACTATACCGGTGTGAAACGTTAGCTGCTATACTATCCTTGTCACGAAATTAATTCGATTGATCAGCCTCTGAGACGTCGTTAGTCTCGTAAATAGGAAATAAGATTAAACTTTTACGAATCAACTTCCAAACTTGAGAAATTAAACTTCGAAACTGCTCGTTGAAGTTTGATGAAAATTGATATAAATGAACAATGGACAGGATAATTGTCAAGAATTGATGCAAATGAACTTGCATTTCATTATATGTTTTGATTTGCAAAAATATTTTATGTATTATAATTTAAAATAAGAAACTTGAAGCCAGTTATTTTGGTTGATTTGATAGTTCTAGTGTCAATTTCATTTTTATCAAGATGTTTGCAACAAAATAGAAGGGAAACAGGAAATGATGCTTGAACAATTTAAAGTATATCGTCCTAAGGGTTTCAGGAAGTTTTGTTCAGCTTCCCTTTTATATTCGTGAAACTTGATTCCTGTCTTTAGGATTGGTCTGTATTCCGTACTTTACATTGCATCTGGATTTAGAGGGAACAAGGAACTAGTACGTTTTCTGCTCTCCTTTCTTTTTCTCTTTATTGAACACATGTACACAGTGTACACGTAATATCATGGAAACGAAAGAAGACAGCCCTTTTGTGTCGTTCGTAAAGAAAACTTTTTAAAATAAGAATCTCACAGTGCACATGGAATACGTGCTCAAAATACAAAACGTTATCTGAACCGACAACCTTTGTCCCATTGATATTCAGATGTTATTTTGTATGAAATCTTACCTGTATGTTGGTATATCGGTAGTAATTGCCGACACTACATTTATTCATTTGTTATTAAATATATTCAATATTTTGCAACAGGTCCCAAATTTCAAACTCATTTCGATAGGTGTTAAAATAATTATTTTGTGTTAGATTTGATGATTTTTACTGCGATAGCGAATGGGTTAAAAATCAAAAGAATTTTCCAGCAGCCATGTGTCGTGCTCGATTATCCGTTTTCTGTCCTACGCGTAGCTTTTCATTCGGTTCGATTTACGTACGATTAAAGTAAACGAGAGTCCGTCTTCCGTGTGATTTAATAATGGTAAAAGGTACACAAAAATTCGATTTCCTCTATCAATAGCTGCAGGCCAGAGGATGCTCTCACTCGCCTATCGCAAATCCTCTTATAAATCGTGTATAATCTTTTTTACACCGACGTGAGCTTCCGCTGTTTCGGATGTAAACTGTCTATTATTCATGGGATTGGCCGATAAACCGGCGACCAGCTCGAACTCGATGAGAGGCTTGACTTTTTAAAGCTGCCCTTCGTTTCGCGCAACCCTCTCTTTTCTCTTTCGCCCTCTATGAAAAAAATTTCGTTGAATTTTTACGATTTCCCAACGACCTCCTTCGCGTAGTAGTCCAGAATATTAAACGAGCACGTCGCGCGTTTCGTAACGATGTGTTTGCATTGCAAACCACATTTCTCCATGGCTGTAAACTTGCTCTCTCCTGGGTCCTAGCATTATTTAGGCGAAAGCGATTCCATCTTTAGGAATTATCGAACAAGAATGTTTTTCAAATTTTCTGTACAATTTCTTTACATGTGATTTTTAAAAAATGTTGAAAATTTACTTAGTTATTTATTTTTTAATCAAAGTTCTTGCTGTAGGGATTAGATAAAATAATAGGAAAATTTGTGGAAGGTACAAATTGAATATTATTAAAAATTTTATTCAATACAGCGTGTTATGATAAAAATTATTAAACCCATAACAGTATTCATAATTTCATAAAATTAATGAAACTAATTCCGACCGATATTAAACTTTTACCATTTAGCGATCGAATGAAACCATTTATTTTTTACTAACCGAATAGTATTCATTAGTTTTATATTTTTTAACCAATTATATTAAATCGTTATAGTCCATTATATGTATTTATATGTATTAATATTTTTTAAATACTTCACGGTAGTGCAAAAGCTCGTCACACCTTTTCAATCAGGTTTCAATTATTCTAATGGTCAATTTAATTAAACGCTGTAAAAATAACTCTTCTTGCGATCTCGATAAAATGATTGACCTAAAAATTATTCAATGAACAGTCAACAATTATTTTAATACATCCTCTTCGAAGATAATTAAACATGGCAAAAAATATTCACTAAAGCAGAAGCATTGATTGAAAATTCTACCCGGAAGTAGGTTAACGTTCCTCATTGTGGAAAATCTGTCATGGTACCAGTGTATCGTAATCACGCGTTATATTAGACAAAGAAACATCGCGTGGTCTTGCATGCTTGAAAGCAGACGCATTTAAATTTCCTTTTGTACAATCAGGACTACGGGATTACGTTACTGTTTTAGAAATTCCATTTTACAGTTTCTCTGTTGTCGTACGGAAATTAATCCGAAGGGAGGTAAAAAAGGCTGCCATTGTCTGGAACAAAACGTAAAAAATTCGAGAAATGGGGAGGAAGGAAGTTGGTCGCTGTGGAAGGTCGAAAAGAAAAAAAGGGGGGCATGTTACGTTTTTACCTTTTAACGTTGACGCGTTGCTCGTCGGTGGCTTTGTTGTATAATTTCCTTCCTCGTCCACGAACACGTAGCTAGCGTTAAATCCTGTCGCATCGTATCTGTCGTTGCTCTTAAAGGTTACGCGAAAGAACTTTCTGTCACTGTCCACGTCAAACTCCGCCTGCTGGCCACAGTGCCTCGAGTACTTCCGGTCCCTGGACATGTAGTTCGAAAATTCGACGAAGTCGCTCGCGGATATCGAGTCGCACCTGTACAATCAATAATATCTATGTTATCATCGATTATTAATAATTGTCACATCAATGCAACGTTTCACGAAATCATGTCAGACTTTCTAAGTTTTGAAATATTGTATATAATTTTTCCGTGAAACTTGAAAAACCTGCTAACTACGTTTCGAGTTCAAATTGAAATTCTGATTGAAAAAAACAGAAAAAGTCCCATTTGAAAAACGTAAAATGATTTTTATCTTTTGGGACAGAAAATGCAACTTCAAAGAAACAGTGATTTATTCCCTTGGAAAACTGTCGAGTTGTTATTTATAAGTTTGATTAATACACGTCGGAAGTACTGTACAAATCTTTGATTCCATACTTTCAATTTGTAGAAGGTACATGGTTTTTCTTTTTTACTGCAATTTTTCAACCAGTCACAATATCATATATTTCAGGATTTGATGGATTTATTAGGAGTTGTTTAAAAATATAAAAACAAAGGTAGGTTATTTATTTTGAGGATTGAACATGTGTGTAATACTTTATGTGTCACAGACGAGATTCAAACAAGATTTAATAAGAGAAAAATTTATTTTTCTATCATCACGATTTTAATCCAAACGATAATTTTAACGTTTGTATAGTTTTTTCTTTAAAGCAATTCTGTTTGGCTCTTTACAGCCCCAAGCCAGTAGTAATTTACGTTTTTAAGCTTCTGAGAATCGCTCAACTCATGTGTGACCCACTTATTCATTTTCTTCTCTCTGCAACCTTTGCCAAGAAACTATTTTCAAAAATCTTCTTCAAAACACCGTTCTTTATGAATCTCTTCCGTTTTCCTCTTTGGCTTAGCTTTCAGTAACATCTAAACACCCTCAAATGAAATATCTCAAGAAATTTTTATAATATCAAATAACTATCACAGATTTATAAAGTAAAATATTATCTTCACCATTAATAATATTAATATTTTTTGCTTGCATCGAAAATGTTAGTATTTTACAAGCATCTTGTAAAATTCCTGTATTATCCTTTTGTTTGAAAACCGCTGACCTACAAAATATCTGATCCTCTTAAAACGTGGTGTGTATAGGCGATTTTGTATAGATTGGATAGTAAACATAGCGTATATACCGAGCTATTGCATTCGATATTATATCGAAGAATCGGCCAGGTCAGGTATATCGATGTCTAACAATAAGATGTATAAAATTGCACACACACTCTCACTATACACAAATATAATACCAATGGAAGTTCATAATTTATTATAACTTATCATAATTTCAATAAAATTATCCTTCGCGTAACTCGGAGTCAGGCAGTAGAAAGATCAAGTAGTATAGCACACGATAATGCGGACTATTAACACTTACTGACTATACCTCACCAAGAGGCACGTTTCTTTGACGTTACTCTACGACGAAACACATATTTAGAAAGCTCATAAAAGTTTATACCTATTTCAACAAGAACCGACAAGTCTTTTCGTAACCCGGTAACGTGCACTTCAATTACGTATGAAACACAATCGCGAATGTATTATTCAGAAGCGTTACCAAGTTCGTCGTGTGTGTAGTTGTGTGTCCAGAGAATTTATATTTTCGGCATAGTCATACATTACACAATCACCGGTAAATTGATACGCATAGGGAAGTATGAAACGTCGTTGGGGGATAGTGGTTTCTTGAAATATTCACCTTTCGCGAAGAATATCGAAGAGATTCGAATGATTTTTCTCGATGGTATAGCACGTGCTCGTAAATTGCTTTCGTAGCCGGGGACCGGCAATTCCATAAGTAATTCAATCTTGGCTCTTTCCCCGCATAATTTCGATATACATGTGCGAGCCGGCCCTGCAGGCCCCGACTTTACAGTCGGAATAACCATCGGTTATTCTCTGTTCACGGATTTTCCGGTCCGTTCTGTGCTTGCTTCATAAATATTTCTCTCCCGTTTCGTTGTAAGATTACGTAAGCCGTGATTAAAGTTCAGGGAAATGTGACCCGTCAGAAATAACGCTTTATTTCCGCTTCACCGTGCACATTATTTTACCCGTCGAATAACGAATGCTGGGTCATTTGTGATCAAGTCTTACGAAAAGTACGTAAGAATATTCTAATTTCTTTTTCTATTTTCTATAATTAAAAAATTATGCTTTGGTCTGAATATTGTGGAAACTCTTGCATTTCAATTCGGCTCAGGTACATTAATTTGTACCGGTGAAAATCGTGCGGTACGTGTCCGACGAATTTACAACTCGTCACCCTAAACGGCACCCTACTATACGATGTGGGTGACAAGGACGCAGTTGCAGTTCCACATTTTAATGGCTACGTGCAAACTGGTCGAGGAAACGTCACGAACGACTGGTTTGGTAATTGCCGTCGCGGAAACAACAGAAATATTCAGGTTCATGCAAAAGGTTCGTCATGTATGTACATATCGAAATCCAGATTGATGTTTTAAATATTTCAAATAATTATTATACAATTCAGAATGATTGATGGAAAAATATGGGTTAAATTTTGTCTTCTTCTTCCTTCAAAATATCAGTACACTATAATAAAATTCATAAACCTTTTTCAAAAAGCCCTTTGCACCAACCTGGTATTACAAGAGCTTATAAAGCACCACGATTCCGTGTTCTTTAATTAAAAGTACAGGAAATCAAAGGATTCAACGAATGAATGGTACTGATAAGGAGGATTTACGTTGGTCCTTGTCAGAATTCATTCGCCGTTGTAAATAATATATTGCGTCGGTAAAAAGTATTGATACGTGAACGATGATGCTATTATCGCGAGAGTTTCCATGCCGATAATATATCGCAAACCGCTCCTTCCACCGATGACATAAGTGGCAATTCCCGTGACAGATCATCGTTCGGTTCTCACGTATCCGAACATACATTTCGAACTGTTTACTCGAGCCCGGATTTACGAGTACGAATGTATCTTTTTCCCTCGTAGCCGGCTCGATATCCCGTTCGGATCTTGCTGCACTTCGTCTAATTGAACTCTCGTTCGAACCGACGATATTTACGAGCAATCTTTTCGACGGAAGGGGAGAGAAGAGGAAAGAAGGGAGGAAGGAAGGAGAAATTCGGGGAAAAAATCCGACTCGCGGGTACAGAGAACTGGACCCCGGTTGTAATAACAGATGCGAGTGCATCTTGCGGGATTCACTCGATATCGGCCGACCTCGAATTATTAAATTCAGGCCACATTTTCTGGGCTAGAGTGAGGAGCAAGAGAATCGATCAAGTCACGAGACCTACTTCGCTCTTCCTCGACGAGTTATTGTTGAAAAGTTCGACAGGAATCGGCGAAACACGACTAATTAGAGGCTACCGGTAATGAACGAAACGGTAGCTTGCTTATCGATGCTGCTTTCATACGATCCAATTAGGTTATCACGTGGTCAACTTCCTCTTCTTATTTCCTCCTAGTTTAATCAACACCGGGTCAGTTTTCACTCAAGATTTCACTCCAGATTAAGATTTCTGAGATTTGGAGCTGTCAAATCTTGGAGGGTCCTCTAATTAATTTTTCTACTGCAAGGTACTTAATTATGTCCCATCGTATACCCTAATTTCTATATTTATTTGAAACAGTCCATAGCATCTTTGCTGCTTCTGATATCGTACGATGAGCTAGATATACATGTACCCAGCTTTTTTGCTGTTTCAAGGATTAATTAGCGTAGATCAATCAGCTGTGCCTGCTAATTGGCTACCTCGACGCAAATACTCCACACTCTGATGGACTTTTGCGTTATCGGTTACAGGATCCTCGTTTGGACGTACTGCTTTCGTCTCCAGTAAGCAGGTTGGAAACTTTGTTTGACGCAGTTTGATTTAGTGGAACGTCGAACTACATCAGGAGAGCCAATCGAACTGGTATCGATTTGCTTCCAGTAGACTTCTAGTTGGCTAAGGATGCTCACTTTGTCTCACCTCGTCCGGTTGAGTGACGAGAAGGAAGTCGAGCAGGATCGATACATAGAATTCCAGTCACGACGGTCTAGTCAGTTTATCTCTCCCGGTTGATACTCCTCTTCCCCTTCCACTTCCGTTCGCCTATCCTCTGGATGATTTTTATTGTTCCTCCTTGATTTTATGTATCGCTCTTTGCTTCTTTTTTTGATACGTATACGGAGGTAAATCGAAAGGAAACAAAAGCGTGTACACTCTGCACTACCCCTTGCGTGTATATCTGGAAAGGTTATGGGGTTGCTCGAAGGTAAATAACAGGGGTAACTATCTTTGTACCATGTCTTGTAAAACGAAGCCAGTCATGTAGGTTACATACTCCGATAGATATTTTTCAAGCATGATTGAACTTTCATTTTTTATTTATTTTTACAATAAGAAAACTCAGGTTATTTTTATTAATAATGCTGTTCTGATATAGTTACTCTTCTTTACTATTTTTCAGTACATAATAATTCATTATAAGAATTCCAACCCTTAAATGATGTTTGTATGCAATATAATTTCTACTTTATAATTGACTTCGTTAAAATTTCAAAAGCGTTTGGTAATATAATATTCTGCTTGATAAAGGAAGTATTAATTTCAATGGTTCTTTTATAATAATTAGGTTCATTAGGATTATTCTTACTTCATCGTGTTACAATTAATTACATTTCTCAATAAATTTCAACCTTTTGGAATAGAAATAAAATATTAATACTTACGGCATCACTCCCTCCACATCGAAGAAATGAAAATGAAGATGCACTCTCTCGTTGAGTTGACCATTGAAGAAATAATGACATTCCGTGTTTCGTGGATACAATCCTGGATAATTTGGTGACGCGAATGTACCATTTCGTGTCTCGTTGCTGTTGTAAACAAAGGCACAGGGATATTGCGCCTCTTGTCGGCCCGTCGTTATGCCGAAGTCTGTAACACGGTAAAGTACAATGGCCACGTTAACACCCTTTGTGTATCTGAGAATAAACGTCGGGTGTGTAGAAAATAATCCGGCAGAGTCTATTAAGTAAACGAGTAAAAACTCTTCTTTCTCCTCACAGAAGACTATTATTCTCAGTACTGTACATCCCAGCAACGTTTCAGCTTGCAAATATGACGGTGCCCGTTAATTAAATCGTGACCGTGTTTCAGGTATTTAATCGCGGGGAAAAGAAAGTTTTTTACGACTTTGAATCGGTCGTGCAATCACCTTTGTTCGACTTTTCTTTTCTGACCTCTTTCTTCTAATGAAAACTAGCTCAAACAGTGCTTTAGATGTGAAATAGTAATTGTTGGATGAAAAGAGAAGAAGAAAGAAGGGAAAAGTGTTTCAACTGTAGCCCGAGGGAACTCTCGGGCTGTTTCATTTCGTATTAAAGTATTTTGATTCCGATTAGTAACAGATGGAAGAGCTAAAGAGATTTTCGACGCTGAAAGAGTGCGCTGAAATCCTTGGTAAATAAAGATTCTTCTTGGTACGAGTGATCGAGTGGATCGACCAAGAGTGTGAGTATGGCGATGATGAGTGTTCTTCAGTTGGTCAATAAATTGTTAGAGTACGATGAACGGGAAAGTTCAATGGGAAGATAATGGCCGAGTTGCAATGAAAAACGTACATATTATGAAAAAGTACTCGAAGATGAAGTGAACCTATTATTCTATTTCTGATACACATTGAACACATTGAGAATTTAAATTTCATTTTCATTTTCTAAGCTTACGAAAAGAAATAGGATTCGGAATTTTTTTAATTTTTCTAATTAAATTTAAATGATTGCTCTCCCAATTCTAGACCATTCTTTAACGTAGCATAGTTGCCGCAGAAATATAGCGTAGTAATAAATTTTAAATGTATACATACTTGTGTTAATCAATATCTCTTAACATTTTTTCCAAAAAAATATCATTTACATTCAGTTACTAATTGTGGGGGTACAAATACTTATGCTATTCATCGTATTTGCACATTATTTGATCACCTCGTGATGTTTGCGATTGCCCGTACCATATACCTATTCACCTGGTGCGCTTAATAAATATTGACGTTCACTAATGAACAGCCACGCGTCGAAGTATAAAGCATCATCGTCATAATTGCTATATCGTAACACGATGGTTATTAATAAACAACAGGGAGCGTAATGGCTTACGTATTATTAACTAGATGTTCGAAAACCGAATGCGAGAGAGCGACTGCTTCAATTTGCCGATGAATATACATACATACATTTGGCCGAATGATATCGGCCCCTGTATCTGAATGCGAACAAGCAACCATCTCTGTGTCAATATTACACCATGTAAATCATACTGTACAATTTAATATTTCGTGATAAACAGTGACCCTCGTTTTCCTTCGTAATCCATTCAGATAGAATTTTTTAACAGACGTCTGTCAAACTGGCGGTATAAAATCTTTCCAGGGAGTTATATTATCTATTTTGCGATCAAAAGAAATAAAAACGAGAATTGAATGAAAAATTTGAAAGGAAACTTCTAGATCATTCTTCTAGAGATAACGGGTTAATTATAGGATCTCTGCTCGTCAGGGCTCGTTTGAAATCGTTCGCCGGCACCAAGGACCAACTTGCCTACGAACTTTCGAGTTCTCGAGTTCCTAAAGTTGAGCTTTGGTCGTTATGCCCGGCGAGCAAGTTTCTTCGCGGTTGTAAACATCAGGTAATAAGCTTTAGCAAACGCCGTGCACTTTTGCGCTTAGTTAGCCACGTTTGTTATACGACCGATGCACTTCGTCCATATCCAGTGCATGGTGAACGAGTTCGCAAGACGACGACTTTTTATTTTGATAAAGTGTTTCGAACGTTTCCAGCGAAGTAGTTTCGTTCCATAAACGTCACTCGGAACCTTTATTCGGCCGGAAATTGAACTTCTTTACAGGACGATGAATGCGATAGGAAAAAAAAAAAGAGGTCTGAGATGGTCGAAAGGTCGTGAAGAGCTTCCGTACGGTTGTGGCATCGTGTGCAACACGTAACTCTGCTGGAATTTAGGCTAATGGTCCGACGGTTTTAGTGTCTTGGGTGACTGGTTTTAGGGACTGGGTCTTTCTAATCGGTTGGAAAATATATAATACAACCTGGCTGTGAATCAAGTGGAGGCAACGACCTGTAAAAACGAATTTAGGATATTTTTAGACTTCGAAATACGGAAACAAATGAATTTCTCAAAAATATTTACACACTGTAAATAGAGTGACAGGCGAAAAGTTGTTTTATAATGTTATTTTCTAAAATGTTACAGAACAGGTTTTCTTCAAATTATTTCTCTAGAGAGTACTTGGATCTCTTCTATGTAGCATTTTCTTTGAAAAGAAAGAAAAGAAAGTGACTGCATGATAAAGTATCTTAGACGATTCCAGCCAACTGGTCTGAGTTGAAATAAATGTACCTTGAAACACTTATTTTGTATGTACTCGTATATTGTGCTTCAATGAAACAATTTAACTCTCCTATTTCACAGCAAGACCAATTTTTTATTTCTTTAAAAAAAATCTAATCTAATCTGTCTTCATGTAAAATAATGAATTTTGAGTCACGCAATAATTCTGCTGCTATATCATTTCAATTAAAATTATTAATTCAATCGGCCTACTTTAGTTATGTCCCTTTCATCTCAACAAAAATCTCATACTGTTTATCGGCACCTGAAACGCATAAGAAAGTTCACAGAATGATGTTATAAGTCCTGGTATTCTCTGCAAAGCTGAAACACCGAAGTTTCTAAGCCATTCTTTCCAAACAGCAATCTGAAACTTTTCTCAACATTAATTTGCATCGGCAATTTACCTCTCGTTTACTATATAACTGCTTCTGCAAAATACTGACGGTAGTTTCATCCACCACGCTTTCAATTTTGCTACAGTATTATTAAACTGACTTTTTCCTGAACTTGTATAAATTACATTTTTGAAACACAAAGAAACTGAATACAATTGCAATTTGTGCAATTTTTAAACTTTCTGTTATACATCAACTAGCAATTCTACATTTCAAATGACAAATGACAGTGTGTGGATACTCAAAATTATGAGTACTCCAAAAAATTTACATCGCTCATCGCTAAACGAGTCACGCTTCATCGAGTTTTCGTTTATAACAAAAATTTCATCTCATAACAGTTTACGATTCAACGTAGCCCGAAGGTTTGCAGCGTTTAACAAAGGAGAGCTAGGAGATTTTTACGATTGTAACAGCTCCTACAGAGATTTCCTGTGTCTCGTGCAGCGCAGGAACCATTTCGAGCATCTAACATCCGGTGTAATGTGGGCATACGAGTCAAATCCGCCGCTGGATGCGCACACATAAACTCATTGTTTTATACGTACATCCGTTTCTCCAGACGCGGGTCCATGTACCCACGAAAACAACGACCCTGGTATATCTTTTTCTCACGAACGCACACACACCGACCGATATTCGTCTCTTTCTCAATTTCGTTCGTTTATACTTCAGGGAGAAAAATATTCGTTCGATGGTATCGTTGTTCCGTGATTCGGATCCGGGTCATTGTAGAATTTCGAAAATAAATAGAAAAACTAGAACGTTCGCGCACGTGTTATCGAAACGTTATTACTTTATCATTTTTATCGGTAAACAGAATATGTCCGTTGATTCTGAAATATTCAATATCATCCTTTATTCCATCTCCGCTTTTTTCGGTTAATTTCAACGGAAGCAACGGATGAGTTTCATCTATTCATCCTCTGACGAATCTTTTTTTCGTGAAAAAGTTGGATTTGCACCATGTGTAAAATGAAATATATTAAATTCCAAATAAGGTTGAATAAACTTAAAATGGAGCATTTTCTTTGGGATTTCAAATCAACATAGTTATGAAAATTTCGCAGCTTGCCACCTCTATTGAATATCATTGTGCCTTGGTCCTTTGGGGAATTTAATTTAGAGCGAAATTTTCTTTTTTGTAAGATAAAATATTAGTAATAATGATTCTTCATTGCCTGTCTGATTTCAATGATTTGATCGATAAAATAGAAATTTAATTAATTCATTTAATTCTTTATATCTTCTGATACTCATTACTATTAATTAAAGGTTTGTTTTCACCCTGTGTACTCGCTTGCGAGAGCAAACGGTACACAGAACGCTTTACGACTTCCAAAGACTCGGATTTCACGAGTTTCCCTACTCTCGACTACTGAATCGACTTCCTTGATTCCCGAGGATGGCCGAGTTTCCGGTGCGCACGTGCATCCCTACGAACGTGTGCGAGCGAGTGTTGTATCGCGCGAAATCGGCGATATTAAACGTTCAACTTTTCAAAAGTCCGCCCATTTCGTTCGACCCTGTGAAACTTTCACGTTTAACGTCTCGAACACCGCTCGAACCGGAAGACTGAAATTCTACTTGGGTCAGGCTCTTGAAGTTTGTAGCTTGACAATCACGATTTCACAGAATTCTTATTCATTTCCAACCAATTGAACACTGTTTAGAAAAAAATTAATCTTGTATTTGAAATAAATTCCGAAGGGATGTTCAGGTCGAGAATGTTTTTGGGTTGTATGCAATAATTTTAGTTTGAAATTCAAAATTTCTGCATTATTTTTTACAAAGATTTTAATAAATCGCTGTTTGGAATGTGGATATTGCTGAGCCTTTATCAAGTATCTGGCAGCAAATTCAAGCAGATAAATGTTGGAATCCGATGTTGATCGCGATTGAACATTCGCATTAGATTGCAATATCGCATGGTAGCCGATGAGGATCGTCCAGCTTCCGAGATTTCAAATTGACGTTCGTGACAGAATCACGAGCGATTTTATGGCGTTTGTCGATAGCTCGCTGAAGATAACGCACGATTAAAGGTATCGCCGGATAACAGGTACACGTACAACGGCGAATTCTATATTGAAGCAATCGGATATTCATTTGCGGTGAACCAAATAGAAGAGC